TTAGCAGGACCAAGTACTGATTTTGCCCCAAATCCCTAAGTGGCCCCCTCAAGGATTGAGCTCACAAGCCTGGGTTTAGTAGGCCAATACTCAAACCACTGAGCTATCCCTCCTCCCCTAAGCAGCATGGGGCAACCGTTCCCTTGTTGCTAACTGCTTTTTTCCTGGCCTTTGGCTAAATAGAGAAATTCAGTTTCCAGGGCCATCAATCCAGCAGCTTTGCTGAGCGTTATCCACACTGCAGAAGGGAAAAAATATTTTAAAAGCCTGAGAATTTTCTGAACCCTCTTGTGTTTTGTGGGTGTTTTTACCGCTATCCCTTTTATTTACGTGCACTGTGAAACCAGCTGTTGTGGCCTGTTTTGTCCTCTCCTCAGTCAAACACCCCAAAAAATGTACAGATGATCATTTACGCTGGCAGCGCACCACACCCATTATCATTTCTGAACTGTTGCATTTTGTGAGTGCTCTTTGGCAAAAGGATTTGTTGTGGAGACAAATGGTTTACCAGCCTCGTGCAAAACAAGTATTTTCATCGCCATCTGATTGTTCAAAGCACAATAGCATTCTTTTTTCTTATTTAATTCCTGCTGGATCTCTTAGTAAATGGCATGTTACACGGGAACATGTCCATCCGTAATATGAATTCAGGGCAGCGCGCCTGTGCTTTGTGCATGTTGATCTTCACATAACTTCAGATTTTCCAAATGTTCAAAACAGAAGCACTTATACTTCGGAAGTCCTTTTCTAATGTGTTTTCTTACAGTTATTAAAATGGGAAGGATGGCTCTGTCATTTGCTCTATGGCATCCAGAGGTCAGAGTACCCAGCAGTAATAGTTAATATAGAGCCTGTTCCACTCCTAATGCATCACATGAGGTTTTTTTTAAAGAACATGCGCTTTTCATGGTGACCCAGACTGGGAGGACGTGGGCTGGTTATTAAGCATCCAAATAAGAATTTTTTATCAGCAATATTTTCCAAAAAGAATGCAAAATGGGGGAAAGCATTAATAAAACTATATATTTTTAATGAATAGGATTTTATTGCGGGGGGATAGATAAGGAAATAACAGGGCAAAATTCCTCAATCTACATTACAGGCCACGTCCTCAGTTAATGTAAATCAGAATATTGCCATTGAAGTCCATGAAACTTCCCCCATTTACACATGCTGAGAATCTGACTCCTCTTGCCAGAACAGCTGCCCATGTGAGCACAGAACTCCTAGTCATACCAGTCAATGCAGCTAGAGCCTAAGATGATCTAAATCTATGTAGTTCCATTGACTTCAACAGAGCTATGCCCATTCACACTAGCTGAGGAGTCAGCCCCTTAGCACAACTGCAGAATAATGAGAGAGATCAGAGCTGTGAGAATCAGTGTGGGCAGTTTTGCCTGGGGATTTGATGTGAAAGAAAGAGAACCATCCTCTTTTTGCTGAGATGTGGCAGGAAGATTCCAGATCAGTGGTTCTCAAGCAGAGGACCGGGGCCCCTTGGGGGGCTGTGAGCAGGTTTCAGGGGGTCCGGCAAGCAGGACCAGTGTTAGTCTTCCTGGGGCCCAAGTAAGAAAGCCGAAGCCGCGCTATGCGGGGCTTCAGCCCAGGGCCCCAAGTTCTGCCACCTGGGGTTGAAGCCGAAACCTAAGCAACTTAGCTTCGTGGGGACCCCTGTGGCGTGGGGCCTCAGGCAACTGCCCTGCTTGCTACCCCCTAACACTGGCCTGGGCTTTTATATACCGAAAACCAGTTGTTGTGGCAAAAGTGGGCCATGGACTTTTTATACCATGTTGGGGAGGGACCCCTCAGAAAGAAAACGGTTGAGAACCCCTGTTCCAGATCATCATAAGAGATTGTTGGGGTACCACTAAAAACAACTAAATACCAAGGCCCAAAAACCAAAGCACCTCAACGTTTGTAACAGGAAAAACACTGACAAGATTTGGCAATATAAAAGTACAAAGTTTTTGGACTTTGGGTAATGTAAAAATCTCCTGACAAATCTGTATTTGTAGAAGATAAGAAATGTTGACATTAAAGAACCCATAGCGTGCTCTCCAAAACCTTTCTAATAGATTAAGGGGGAGGATAATACACATATACAGTACTGCCTTATAACGTTGAAATATAAAATTGAGGTATGGCTAATGATAACATTAAAGGATTTGCTAGCTATATTTTAATAAGTTGTAATTATGGATAGGTCATAAATATAGATAAGAATACACATGGGCATGGCATGAGTGTGTTTTTGCCAAGTGTCCTTTGACATAAATTGCTGCTTTGTTTAAAATGATGTTTTTGTAGACAAGGTAAATAATGTGTCATGTTGGAAGCCGTAAGCTAGTTATTTGTCATTTGACAAATAACTGCCCTCCCTTTTTTTTTTTTTGAGAAGCTCAGAAACAGAGTGACCCAGGTTGTCTTGGCCCAGAAGCTGCAAACCCAGCCAGAAAAATGTAGAAGTTATGCAAAGCTTGTGCATGTGTAATGTCGGGGTTACATAAAAATCAGTGGGTCATCTGACGGGAGAAAAGTTGAGTAATGGGGCATGTGACAATGTATGAGAATCCTAGTGAATATGGGCCTGTGATGGAGTATACAAATCCCACACTGGAAAGCGAGGGGTTAACCTGAAAAGCCTGCACAAGCTGGAGGTGGGGCTTAAAAAGGGGAGCAGAGTGGCTCAGAGGCAGGTAGTGGAAGGGAACAAGTGATGGGAAGTACTGCCAGGAGCTCATTGCCTGGGACCTGACAGCACAGAGCTGGGCAAACCTACAAAGGAGAGTCAGGTGACTGAGTGTGCAGGCCAGAGGCTCGAGTGAAGATTCTTAGATTTACTCAGTGAAGTTAAAGAAGACTGGGTCGGAAGTGGTCTGGGGGGTGACTGCTTGGCACCCCAAGGTGCAGAGTGTAGCTGCCCACCACTGGGCCCTGGACTGGAGCCCAGTAGAGAAAGCGAGCCCGGCTCCCCTATCCACTCCAAGAAGATGTAACAACAACAGGAGCCTTCACCTTGGGTGAGAACCCAGCTGGAGAAGACCTGGAATTCAAAGGTCCAGACCCCAAAGTCTCTGTGCTAAAAGGGAAGGACTGGAAACCCTTGGGGGGGGGGGCGGAAGGGGGTTGAAAGACAGGACTGTGTTTCAGTGGGGAGACGACTCACCACCCTTATGTCTGACCACTAGGTGGCACTGTTCATGACTGTTCACATTCTACAGGTCCCAAAACTGGAAAAGCACCAGACCAGAAATTAAAGAACAGGATGAAAGGACCAGACCAGGAGATCAAGGGAGGTGACAGCTATCATGGAAGGTGAAAGAACTTGCCGATACCCTGGAATGCAGTAACTTGGGCCCATTTACCTATTCTGTCTTGTCTGTTATTATGTGTCTGGCTTAAATGTGTGTCCAGGCATTATAACAATAATTCTGTCTGAAATTGTAGAAATAAAGATTAAATCTGCTTAAACCTAAATGGGGTGGGCTTGTGACTCAGTTTCCCACTTACTCCAAACAGGCCAGAAAATTTTCCATTCAAACCCTCCCAGTTTTGATGGTATTTTTTAACAGCTCTACTCCAAACATTGTCCACAATGATGGTTCGAATTTTTGAAGAAATCTGCTTTGGCTGTGTTCAGATCACAGTTGCCAACTTTCACGCGGTAAATAAGCACCCCGACTTTCACAATAAACCCAAAATCAAGCTAATCCCATTTCAAAACAAGGCCAAAACAAGCCAATCCCTAAGAACCCCAACACTCTATGTGACTAGATCCCCCCGGCGTGCAGTCCAGGACTGTGGTGGGCCGGTGTGCACCCCTGACTCTCTCCTGTCCTTGCCCCTGCTTGCCGGGAACTGATAAAAAAAAAAAGAAGAAGAAGCAACAAGCTACAACAAGCAACAAGCTACAAGATAAAAACTAGCCAATAAGCAACTCACAAGCCAATTAAGCCAAAAACAAGCCCAGTTTCTGCATTTTTTTTTTTTGAGGGTTTGGCATGTCTGGTTCAGATTCCCCCTTTTATGTTTTCTTTCTGCAAATAGTCTAGGGTGAAATTCAACACTATAGAAAGCCCTGACTGGCCTCTTCACCACTTAAGCCTTCCAAATAGGGCTTACATGGGACTGAAGTGGTTCATCAATCTTGTGGTGGGCCTCTGCCCATCAGTGAATGTCACCCACTGCAAAGGGAAAAAAGGAAGTATAACAAAGCAGCTGAAGATTGAATTAGGAGACAGAATATGTAGAATGTGATACTGTGTTAATAATTGTCTGCTGAAATAATATAGGTTTAGCCCAATACTGCATCCCACGCCCTAATTAAACAAGATCTGGTGGAATAAAAACCTCCCCCTTCCCCCGGGGAGTTCATCTTGTGTACTCTTGTTCTAGTTTACATTTTCATTGGAGATGCACAACCTGCCCGCAGTTGTGTCCTCTGGTTCAATATCTCTACTTCCTTCCCGTAGTTTGCCTTGGGCTCCCACTAAGTAAGCACAGATATCAAGATGTTCAGAATCACAGTCAACAAAAATCAGTATGCTATTTTATTTTATTTGCACAGCTGCTATGAATTTTCTTCCACCTAACTTTTCGCTCTGTGTGTGTCTGTTTTAGAACCAGGGGAAAGAAGAATGGATTTTTTAGCATTTGTGTTTGCTTTTATTGATCTTTAAAATGTTTTGTGGATTTTTTAAACAAAGGACTACAATAATATTAGAATCAGTAAATAAAAAAGATCTATAACTAAGCCATGTGGAAATTGATTTTTACTGACCCTTTCTTCCAAATACCACCTTAAAGCTACCCTATGTCCTTGTCTTATCCTTCTTGAAGCGGGGCAATACATTATTTTTATAATTCTTTATGAAAGGTTTTGTTGGAAACTATGAAAGCAGACATACTATATATATAATATATAATATATATATAAGCACATACATATAACTGGTGTGTAATATAATACACTGTATACTCTAATACAATTTATATTATGATAGCAACTAGAGACTCAAACTAAGATACCCGGTGTGCTAGGTGCTGTACATACAAGTACTAAGAGACAGTCTTTTCCCCAAAGGGCTTGCAATCTAAATAGACAAAGAGTGGCAGGGGTAACATGGGCACAGAGAGCCAACGTGACTTGTTCAAGGTCTTATACCAGGTCACTGGCTGAACCGGGAATCGTACCCCTGTTTTCTGAGTCTCAATCCAGTACGCTATCCACTGGCTCAAGCTGCCTCTCGAGTAGCTGTGATAGTGGATACTGTGTCTGTCTACCCATAATATTGCTTTTTCAAGGCATGTCCAGCTCATTCTGTCACACACTAGTGATTATGGTGCAATATAGGGCTTTTCTTGCACACTGGTAGCTGGAATTCAAATAATCTAATGCACAAAATTGGATTGCACAAATATCTACAACACAGGCAGCAGGCAAAACCATAGGTCATCCAAGAAGCAGAAAAGACTCTGCCACATGGACAAGCTAGTGACCAAAGGGAGAGCTCACCACAGGAAGACAAACAATGGATGTCTTATTTTTAAGGTAGTTATTTATGCACTTTACTGATTTAAGGCTGGATCATGCCTGGTGATACCAAGGCCCTCCTGAGAAGTGCCAAGACCCATCAGCTCAGCCGGAGCTGAGGAAGATCTGCATTTTGTAAGATCGAGTTTTCACAGAATACCATCTCCATAGCAATTACAGTGGGCCTCACTCGCCTCTTGTCGTATACACTGGTGAAAATCAGGAATAACTCTATCCAGGGGGACCGCTATGGCTATGTCTACACTTACGGGGTAGACTGCACGTCCAGCTAGCACAGGTATAAATAGTAGTGTAGATGGTGAGGCATGTCTTAGGTAAGTAGAGACCCCTACATGCCTGAACCCCAAGGTACCTGCCCTACATAGGTTTATACATGCCTAAGCAGTGCTTCCCACATCTACACTGCCGTAATGCCTATGGGTCTCTGCAGCCAATAATTATGGCCCAATGTACACACGAGAGGTGCAATTACAGTCAAAGGCAATCCAATGTTGCATGTCAGCTAATATTTGTGGATATTTTTGCAGTTGTTCATGCGGTTCTAATAATAATACTTTGCACTCTTATAGTGCTTCCAAAGCCCTTTAACTGTTTAGTGAGTTAAGCCTCACAACACCCCTATGAAATAGGGAAGGGTCGTTATACAAAAATATATTGTCTATATCACACGGTCAAAAATGTTTCACTTTAAAAGGATTCCACTGTACAGAGTGGTCTGTATGCAAATTCCCAACAAGCATCCTTTCAGCTAATAAGTAACTGAAAAACGGTTCCCTGTTGCTTTAAAAGTCCTAAGGAAGAACTCCCCCTCTATGTGTATTGTTTAAACATCTCTGTGTGGCAATCAGGTTTTGTTTTTTCCCCCCTCTCAAATAGCAGTGTAATTAGTTCTTCAAAGGGCCTACTCTTCGCATTTTATTTCAGCAAGTTGTCATTTGGGAAAGTCAAATTTCTAAACAGGAGTTCAATCCCTCACATATGTTTCCCAAGTTTATCTGCAGTTCACAAGCCTGTACAGAAGCTGTTTGACTCAATCTGTTGCTGGTAGGGGGAGGGCACAGGTTCACACCAATAAACAAACCTCTTTGCAATGTCAATCTCTTCACAGCGTTGGATGGGATTTCTTTGAAGCAGGGTTTGCCTGAGCTATATGAAAACTCAGGATCAGTTTCAGTGTGTGCCGGGGACAAAGGCCTTTATTGTATAAAAGGAATAGAACTAAGGCCCTTTCTTCAGTGAAGTCCCCGTCAATATTTTTTGTTCAGTATGAACCTGTGATCCCGGTCGTGGCTAACAGAACAAAGTAGGATTGTGTTTAACTAGAACCAATCTTTGTGGGCTGCTTTGCTTTAACTGAGACTTTCCACTGAAGATTAGAGCCAGATCCTCAACAGGTGCAAATTGATGTTGCTCCATTGAAGTCACATGTACCTGGTCATGAAGTCCATGGATGGCACAGATTAACACCACCTGAGGATCTGTCCCTATAGGTGGAATCAATAAGACTCCAGAAAAGGCTGGCATTGCTCTAATATATTAGTAATATCCTGAGTGCATTATAAATGTACTGCTAAGAACTATCTATCATGTTATAGCTACACTGTGTGACCACGGTCACATTACAGAGTGGTGGAAGGAGATTAAATATTAGAGCCAAAATAGTTACAGACTTATTCCGTAACCTTTCATGATTTCATTGTATTTTTCCCCCTCTGATGAATGGATTTTCCTAAATTTGACAGATTTATTTTTTGTGGCAGGTATTTTTCTCTCACAACATTTAGTGCCAGTTTTCCATTCAATCCCAAGCAGGGAGATGAGGTGAGCGGTAATCTATCGGTAACTATAATTTTATTTAGGTCCATGTAGCACATATGCATGACCTTTTTTTCTTAACAATGCAGGGGTTCTGTTTTCTAAGCCTCTATCTGACTACTGATTTGTTTGGGAGAGGGGAAAAATTCAAGGAGATGTAAATGACATAAAATAATTTAATATTTCAAAGGGCCTGTTTTAAGCATCAACTTTAAACTGGAGATTTTCTACAAGCTTGGGGAATCTTTACGTATTGTTAAAGGGATTTTTGTAAAGACGTGTGGCATATTTATGAGTTACCAAAAAGAATTCCACTCAATGTACTCAGGGCTGCTCATGTTGCCTTAGGTTTCCTCAGATCTCTTTGGAGATTTCCAAACTCATAAACACTGTAAATACAATCAGACGTGGCTATGTCTGAATTTTGTTAAATCGATCCCTTTTTTTTTTTGTGGTAACTAATATGATCCATCATTTATTTTGCTTGACCCATATTTCATATTTAAGGAAATTAAATAAATCTCATATTTATTATTCCAAAAAGCTAGGTGGTGTCTGTTAACACATCTAAATTAATGAAAGTTTGGAGGTGAACATATAAAAAGCAGAGCAGACAGGCTATTTTGTGGAACTAGACTTCCACACTTCACCTCAATTCTTCAGGGCTGATTCATTGGGTTAATATTTGTTCCTGTTTGATTAGCTCTTCCGGGCTGATTCACTTGGTTAATATTTCTTTGTTGGGTCCTCTCTTATACAGTGTGTGGCCATATGATATACTATTGTATTGACATACAATAACTATCAGCCTACATGTGGTGATTCATGTGGCGTCATTCAGCACTTCTACTTCTAGTCCTGGCTGGAGATCCGGGCCTTATTCTGACTCATTCACAGCAATATTATGTTAGTGTAACTCCATTGATTTCAGTGAGGTTACTCCTTGTTTATACCTGCTGTAAGCAAATGAGGAATCAGGCCCTATAAGTTTACAGATGTGGACAAAAATTAAAACAAAAAACAAGTTAAACTGAATTTTTCAAACCTAAAAACCCAAAGTTTGGATGGAGTTCTTTTATAATCAATCCCAGTTTATCCGTCCCTAGAA